TGGGTGGAATTTGGAGCTGTCCCAGCACCAGAGAGCCCCAGGGATGCTCAGGTGCATGAGAAATATTTTCTCCCTCCTGAGCAGGGCTGGGAGAAGCAGACAATTGGTTCCTGGGTTATTTTGCTCCAGGCACTGTGTCCCTCCATTGGCCAGTCCTCACCCAGATTGTCTCCTGTAGACAGAATTGTCATGAATTAAATTAAATTAAATTATAATTTCACTGAAAGCGATGTACACTGAGTGTTCTCTGCAGCAGTGGTTGCAAAAAACACGTGTAAAGCTTGTTTGGATTTTTAAGCTTCTCAACCACTCCTCACAAGCCCCTAAAAAGAGATTCTAGCCAGGCTGGGCTCTGTCACTTCTCTCAAGAAGCAAGTGGTAGAAAAAAAAAAAAAAAAAAAAAAAAAAGAAATGGCCCCAAGATTTGCCAGGGAAGGTTTGTATTGGATAATAGGAACAATTTCTTCATTGAAAGGGTTATTAGGCATGGGGAGAGGATGTCAGAAGAAGTGATGGAGTCACCTTCACTGGAGGTGTTTGGAAGATGTGYAGATGTGGCACTTTAGGGACACGGTTTAGGGGTGGATTCAGGAATTCTGGGTTAATGGTTGARCTTGATCTCAAAAGTCTTTTCCAAGCTAAATAATTCCATAATTCARTTTCCMTTTTTTCCCYCYYTTTTTTTCACCTTTTTGKCATTTATCCWGAGTGTGACAGAGGTCTAAGATGCCACCTYTTCMTAGCAGATGGGTGTGAGGTGATGTTGCATGACWRGATTTAAAMTCACAGATTTTTGCCCAGAGGAATAAATTTCTGGGATAAAACTCCACACTCAAGTCACAGAATTCCTCAAGATCCTCTTCCCRGCTGAGGTCTCCCCCTGCAGAGTGTGCATTGACAAACTTTCCTTTGGCAGAGCAGGTTTGRAAAGCTCTTCTTTCCATCTGCTGCACCTACCTGGTTGCCTGTGGGGCTTTTCAGGCAAAGGAAAGAAGAATTAAATAGGGAAATATCAGAAATGCCATTTTTTAGCTGCTGCTGCTTTAGGAATTGGTTGGTGGGATTTTGAGTGGTTTAGTGGAAAGTTTCCCTGCCCTGGGTAGCAGGGACAGATGATTTTTAAGGTTCCTTCGAACCTTAAACATTCCATGATTTTTATGAGTAAAAATAAACATAACAGCAATAAATATAGCAGGGCATCACCGTCTGCTAGGCAAGGAGAAGGCTGAACTGCTAGCAGAGGAGGTTGGGTCGTCCTAGGATCCAAGGGGATTTTCCTGGAAAATAAATGGAAACTGAACAAATGTTTTCAGAAATGCCCAGTTAAGGGACTAAAGAAGAAACCATTTGCATGTGGGATTCTGTAACACATCCACTGCAAAACCTTCACAGCCTTGAGCATCCACAGCATAAATAAAAGTCATTTTTTTCCCAGCTGTGGTCCTGAACTCTGTTAGTGTCGAGGCATGTATTTAATGCATAACATAATTTAATGCATATCAGAAACCTCCTATTCCTTCTTGGGGAATCACAGTATTTAAGTATTCACTTGATGTRATCAAAGATGTTTAATTTTTCATCAGACTTCACATTCACTTTGCTTCTCAGCCTTGGTTTGTCTTCCTTGGCTTGGTGGTACAGATGCAGTTTTGCTTTGCTTTCTGCTGCTGTTTTTAAATTGTTCTGCTTGTCTGCTTGAACTGCTGCATCCTCCATGAATAGTTACAGCATCTTGCCTTGATGTGTTGAAGCTTGAAATTGGAGTAGTTAAAACRGCCTCCTTGTTACTATTTTCTTTTCTTTTGCAAAATAAAAACTAAATAAAGCTGGAACTGGCAGCATGCTGTGACACGAAATGAGAGTCCAGGGGCCAGAAACTGCAAGTAAGATACAGTGCAGTTTTCTCAGAAAAAAAACATGCCCCAAGAATTGCATTTTCAAAGGGATTGTTTGAAAATTTTGGACAGAGGTTTTCATCTGCCTTATTTATTTTTTTAAATTTAATTTGCATTTTGTTAGGTATGGGGGTGCTGTCTTTTAGATACATATGGATTGAGAGGTCTTTGAGGGGGAGCTCATGACTTCACAGTCCTCTTCTGTTTAAACGAATAAATAATCTTAACCACAATGAATATGTGGAGGTTTAAAAAATGAATTATTTCCATGTCTTCAGAGTATGATCCTCATGCATTTTCTCTTTCCCATTAGGGAATTGTGGCACAGGGTGAGAAAATCGGTCTCCCACCAATAAATATAAATAAATCTCACCATCCCAAATCAGCACCTGAATTTCTGGATGGTTTTTACCTTCATGGAACAGCTCAGGACTCTCAGAGTTGCTTGGTGTTTCTTTCTTAGGTGTCCACAGTCTGTGTGGTGAAACTGATCCTTCTCCTGCCTTTTGCAACATTTGGGACATTTAATCTTTCTTCTTAGTGTGACTTTGACATTTTAAATGACTCCTCAGAGGTTCCTGCTGGATGCTGTGCTGGAGTGTCCCCTGTGGGAACACACTGAAGTCTGCAGGGTGGATTATTTGTGGATTTAATGCAATGCTGTTCCCAGCTGGGTGATTACATTTGAGGTCTTGAGGGRGTTCCCAGCCCTTGGTTTGGTTGTATCATGGTTCACCTGAGGCTGTATTCAATACCTGAGTGCATGTGAACTCAGGATTACTGAGCCAGGCTAAAAATCTGTTGAGGCAAATCCAGTGATTCTAAGGAAAGAAGAGAAATAAAAAAAGTTTAACAGACTCTCTTTCCCTCCTCTACCCGTCCAAAATGAGTTCTATCCCAAAAGGTGCAGACCAGTCTTCTCTAGAATGTTAGCACCCTCAAAAYACAAGAAAAACCTCCTAAAGTGGGGGTCATCACAGTTTTAAAGATCTAAAAATCTTATCCTGTGCTGCTCTTTCGCCAGGGATTTAATGAGAGGTGAATCTTGTTCATAACAAGGGAAATTCCTGGGGGACAGGTGAGCCCACACTGATTTCTGCTGTTCTACAGCCTCATCTGTAAAGCAAAGCAAAGGAGTGTCTGGGACAGCTGATTTAGGAGGAGCTACAGGAAGAGAAGAGTGGGAAAATCTCCAGCAATGAGGCCCTGTGCATTTGGATTAAACACCATTTAATACCCTGGATTTGTGTCATCCTGRCAGGCTGATCCGTGACTTTATTTACAGGGCTGAACTGTCACATGTGAGTGTGAGAGGCCATGGTAAATCTGCTCTTTGGGTGTGCAGCTGCTCCTCCAGGACTGGGAGATTCATCCTCAGCCCTAACCCTTGCAGTGCATCCAGCAGGATTCTCATTTTGCCCTATTTCCCTCGTTTTTGCCTTGCCCCATCGCTCTCTTTCTGTTCTGCCAAGTGCATGTTTGGTATGTGGTTTTTTGAGGGAAATCTGGATAAAGATGCAGAGTAGGTCAGAGTTCCAGCCTTCTGATTTGGGAAAAAAAAAAAAAATAGTTTTAGCTCCTGTTTGAGTCTGTGATGTTTTACCTCAGAGGAGCAGCTGGGTAAAGGCAGGGGCTGTTGGACTAAAGCCCTGGGGTGCTTTAGGATGTGACCAAAAATTCAGGTAAAGCAGCTTCTGGGAAACCCGCAAAAGCTGACACAGGTGGGAGGTGGAAGAGGGCTAAAAAACACGTGAAAATCTGCTGGAAAGCTGCTGCCATAAAACTGGTGCCAAAGTTTCAAATGATTGTTTCTCTGGTGACTGATCAGTCACAACTGAAATGCCTGGTTAAACCTTATTTATGTGATGTATCTTTTCTCTGTAATATGGACTTGATACAGTCATAATTAACATTATTAAGATGAAGGATGGTAGATTTAGATGGGATATTTGGAAAAAAAATTTTCCCTGTGAGGGTGGGGATGTCCTGCACAGGCTTTACAGAGAAACTGTGGCTGCCCCATCCCTGGAAGTGTYCAAGGCCAGGTTGGATGGAATTTGGAGCAATCTGGGACACTGGAAGATGTCCCTGCCATGGCAGGGGTTGGAACTGGATGATCTTTAACATCCCTTCCAACCCAAACCATTCTGTGATTTTCTAGTTCAACCTCATGTCACTCTTTCTCTGGGGATGATTAAAGTGTGGAGAAGCCTGGTGTAGTTTCAGGGGTTTTAAATTTGAGAAATGAAGATAAAAACAAACAGCAAAAAGCAAACAAATAGCCAAAACAAATGGACAAACAAAATGCCACAACAACAACAARCAAACAAAACCAAGCAAAACCAAAAAAATCAATCAAAAAATAATCCCATCCACCACCAAACTGAAACTCCAAAATGTTCAAATCCCCACTTCAGTGTTCTCCTTGTAGGGAAAATTTGAGTACCTTGGCTAACKTGGGATCTTGTGAATGAAGTTGTGAGAATTTTTCCGGGCACCAGCAGTAAAAATTCCTGACACTGACTCATTGCCCCTTGCATTTGAGCTATCAGGAAGAATCAGSAAGAAAAGGAGCCTCTCTTGGGGGTTAGGAGAGGAATGTGTGGAGCTCCCATCTGAGCTCCCACCTCCCTCCTRTCCCAAAAGCTTTGACCCCATGGACCAGGTGTCCTCTGCTCATTGCTTCYCCCTTTTCTGTAGGCAGGAGCTGCTCCTGTGCCCTCCTGCACTGAAAAGTACTGCTTGACCATCACTTGGCCTTGAGGTTTCTCATCAGTCATGGTCCTGATTATCCCATTTCACAAATCAAGTGGAATTATTTGTTTTCTGAGTGCTGATAATCCCTACAAATGCCATCTCAGTCCATGTGGGCTGTACCCACCATGGTGCAGCAGCATCTTTCCTGTCCATGGGGTGCTGGATTTGTCTGTCTGGTGGAGGTTCTGTGACCATTCACTGTGTGAGGCTGCATCAGATCACCCTACCTGAGCTAAATTTCTGCAGCAAGGAGGAGCCTCCATCTCCCCTTCCAAGCACCATGCCCCTTTCAAAGTGATTGGTGGTATCCAGTATAAATTTAATTTTTKCCTCTTTTTCTCTTCACAGCCACCCAGATCGATCCCAGTGAACTGCAGGAACTTTTTCAGGAGACCTCAGCCARCGTCTTCCGAATTAACTCCAATGGTGCGTAAAATGAAAGGTTTCCTCGTGGATTCTGTGCTGTCCTGCTGATGATTCCTGTGCCTGGACACGGCCCCTGGCAGCTCCCCTTGTCAGGGAGCAAATATTAATGCAGCTTTTGGTCTCACGAGCAGCAGCACATGTCCAATACACGGCTCCTTGTAAGATGCAAAAATATTCCACCATATGTTCCATCCAACAGGCGCAGATACATTCCAATCCTTGCTGAGGCCACATCCTTTTTCTATTTTTAATTGTRTCATCTGTTACAATGGAGAGTTAGGGCTCAGAAAGGTGGAACAAGCCAGGCTCATTTTCAAATGTGCTGCAGACAGAGCCTGGCACATGAGCTTGCAGAGCATCCATCTCCCTGAGGAAAAACAGCAGCACCAAAACTCTGCTGCTGTTCTTCACTCYGGGCAGGGGTTTTATTTCTGCTTGTGTTCTCCTGCTCCTAGAGATCAGAATCTTCCCTCCTCAGCTCATCAGTTTTGTTGGATTAGTCTGGAGGAATTTATCTTGCAGACAGATATAACCCAACATTGCTGAGTGGATGGAAATGTTGTGGTACCCCAGTTCTAAAATATTAGTGTCAGACAGGGATCTAAAATTATYGGTGCTGATAGACCTTGAAATTGCTCTGAAATCACCTGGACAGCTTCTGTGTCTGTTCTTTCTGTGTCTGTAGGGACTGGGTGACAGAGAGGCCTGGCCTAGGTGCAGGGAAAGAATTTGATTGCCTCCTCATTTTCTAACTCCTCCCCAGTATATCCCAGGTGTAGAGCCCCAGTTATTGTAGCAAGGGATCCTTGTGAGAAGAAGGATGGGAATTAAAAACTTCTAAAACACAGTTGTCTCTTTTTAAAAAAGTTATGTATGCTCCATCTACCTGGAAAATTAGAGCACCAATTTTTCCATAAGTACAGGGGATTGGTGACCCTTCTCTTTGTGACATACATGCCATGTAAAAAAATGAATTATGGCCACTGTGGGGGCTTGAACCTCCCAGCTGTGAGCACAAATATTTGGCTTGCAGGTGGGTGAGCAACCCCACAATAACACACAGAAATACCTGCAYTTGCAGCAATTTTGGTTGCTCCAACATCAATAGTTTTAATTTGACCATGGTTGCAATGAGTGATTGTAGCACTTCTGCCACCAAGCTGAGGGCTCAGTCTGAGGTTGTGCAACTTCTCATGTGTCTGTGGGTGCTGCTCCTGCCCAAACTGGCCGGGTTAGGGCTGACTTGATGTGTCCCTGTGCCTGAATCACATMTTCCACGGTGGAGTTTCTCCTGAGAAAACTTGAAAGTGAATGGAAAATCTCTTTTGAAATGCCACAACCCAATTTCTGTTTTCATTCTTTGTCAGAATTGCATTAACCCCTTCAATTAGCATTTGACAGCCTCTGTTGCTGTTATTCCTCCTCYTGAGATGGTGATGATGTGTTTTCTGTGTAGAGTTGCCTGAATTGAGTGCTCTGTGAAGCAGATAATGACAATGCCTGTACTTAAAGCTGCTTTGCAAAAAATGGAGAGAGTGCAGAGAAAAGCCACAACTGTTTGAAGTCTGAAAATCAGATTTTAAAATTYGTGCCATCCAAATTTCTGTTTGAGACATCTAAGAGGATTCAATCAAGGTATGTAAGTACCTCTCTAGGAAGAAAAACATCAAATAGATATCATGGGGCTCGTTAATCTATCACTCTTACACAGAAAGAGATCAGGAGATAGGAGTTGGAGCTAGACAAATTCAATCCTTCTGCATGAGGATAACCAGCCATTAGAAYTGCTTATGGAGGGGGCTTGATGGATTTGGCTTTCCCACAAACCTTTAAATCAAGATTCAAATGTCTTTTTTAGAAGATGCAYTTTGGTCCAGCTGCAGTCTACAGTCTTGATATGGGAGTGATGGGATGAAATTTTATGGGAGGAAATCAGATTGGATAATCAAAATTGCTCTCTCTGGCCTTTAAAATCTATGAACCTATGAATCTATAATGCCTTTTGAAGTGCTTTCAGGTTGAAGAAATGCCCATAAGATACTCTGCTGTTGTTGCTCTGTTCACCACCCATATTATATTTTGTCTGAGAAGATCACTTTCATTCAGTTTATTTTTCATATTATTTTCCCCCCAAAACAGGTAGAGCTTTTTAGGAGGGGGATGCTGAATGTACTGCTAAGATTTGGCAGTGCTAACTCACTTTAGGTCAAGAAGTTTTAGGGTAAAAAACGGGGAAGAATGCCCATGATTCTTTCTGTACCCTAAAGTCTCTTCAGGAAACTCAGCAAGCTCTGWCTTGGAGCACAGAGAATAAATCAGTGCTGCTGTTTGTGTGGCACCATGCAAGGAATGAGCAGGCACATTCCAGGTGGTCACCAGGTGATGGGGTTACTTCTCTTGTGCTTGACCATCCTAAAAATTGCATAAATCCCATCACAGCTCTTCTTTCCCTCCTTTTCCTGTCTTGTCCCGGCCTCTCTGGAGTTTTTCAGGTTTCCCCACTGCATTTGGAGATCAAACCTGAAAGGTTCTTCTCTCTCGTGGGGTGCTGAAGATCACAGAATTATGGAGCCATAGAATCATTAAAGTTGGAAAAGGCCTCCCGGATTGCCAAACCCAACCTTTGACTGAATGCCCCCAAGGCCACCAAACCACATTGTGAAATGTCTTGTGGATTTATTTTTGAGAGCTCTCAGGAGTTGTGACCCCAGCCCTTCCCTGGCCAGGCTGTTCCAAGCTGTCACAAATTCCCCATGTTAGGTTTTTGTTGTTTAGATCCTAAAAACTCCAGGTTGTGGGCAATCTCAGCAATGCTTTTTGTGTCTGTGGGRAATGACTTCTTTTTAATGAAACAAGAAGTCAACTTTGTACCAGGATTTTAAAGCACCATTGAATTTTATTGAGTAACACTGCAGAAGTAATAAACACTGTGTGCTTTGTCCCTCTTTGCTGTCCTTATCCTTTTTACAGGATTTTGAGCCTTAGGGGTGATTTAAATTCTTCTTGGGCACTTCAGGACTTGCTTCCTTACCAAGGGGATTTTACAGCTCTGAGTTGATCATGCCTGTTCTCATCTGTAAATGCTTCCTGCTCCCTTTTTCTGCCATGAAAATGGAAATCTTCCTAATTTGTTGAGTAAAAATTTTAGCCAGGACAGCTGGCTCTGTTATGTGCAACTGGATCACTCTCCTGACAGGTCTTGAGCTTATAGGGTTTTTTAATGCCATCTCTTACAGATGTGTGAAGGGGGAGAGAGAGATTTTTCCCAATCTTTACATCTGGTTTCTTTCTTTTAATCTTTTGGGGCTGTCCAAGTTGAAAATAGGGAAAGTTCAGCGACTCATAGAGTCACAGAATGGTTTGGGTTGGAAGGAATCATCTTTTTCAATCCCCTGCCATGGGCAGGGACAACTCCCACTATCCCAGATTGCTCCAAACCCCGTCCAACCTGGCCTGGAACACTTCCAGGGGTGGGACAGCCACAGCTTCTCTGGGCAGCCTCCACCAGGGCCTCCCCACCCTCACAGGGAAGAATTTCTTCCCAATATCCAATCTGAACCTTCCTCCATCGGTATAAATCCTCTCCCCCTTGTTCTATCACTCCATGCCCTTGTCCAAAGTTCCTCTCCAATTATCCTGGAGCTCCTTTAGGCACTGGAAGGGGCTCTAAGTTCTCTCTGGAGCTGTCTCTTCTCCAGGTTGGACATTCCCTGTTGTCCCAGCCTGGATTAGAGGCTCCAGCCCCTCTGAACATCTCCATAGGCACCTCTGGATTTGCTCTGACAGATCAACATCCTTCTTGTGCTGGGGGTCCCAGAGCTGGGTGCAGAACTCCAGGTGGGGTCTCACAGGAGGAATCACCTCCATTGACCTTCTGGCCCCTCCTCTTTTGATGCAGCCCAGGATAATTCAGCTTTCCTGACATTCWGGAGACTCATTTTGGTATCTTAGTACTGCTGTTTTCCAGAAAGGATCTCTATCAAATGGTGACCTTTGACCTCCAGAGTGCATATCTTGTCATTTTGGGATAACTGGCATTTATTTAGTTTTCCTAATATGATGTCTGAATTGGAATATCGGGTAAAATTATTGGTAAGGACTTAAACCGAGGTCACTTTCTCACCTCACTGACAAGTCCTTTCCTCAAATCTTGCATTCATGTCTCAGATTATTTTCACCTTTTTGTAGGTATTCCAAAARCAGTGAACAAATCTGACAGCTCCTGGATTTGCCTCAGTGTACAATGGCATGAGTGTGAAGTCCTGAACTGTTTTGTACAGGAAAACTGCTTCCCAYTCCAGTGTTCTCAAAAGCAGCCACAAAATTCACTTTGAATTGTCCTTGTTTTTGCAGGTCGGGTTAGAAAGGTTCATGGATGCTGTAGCTGCTGTTTTTTTCTTCAGGAGTTGCACACATGACATTAATTTGTTCTTACAAATTCAATGTCCACACAGGTCTTTTCTTTATCTTGGCTTTCTGTCCGTTCTCTACAGACCACACTCTGCTTTGTTCTGAAGGGTTGATGGCCCTGAAAATATTTTTAGTTCATGCAAAATGTTGTATTTGAACTGGACAGCATGTAGAATCCAAGGGAAATGGATTTGTTAGGATTGTGGAGAGGAAAAGAGGGAATTACAATATCCATGAAACCTCTGCAGGGTCAGTRCTGTTCTTCTACAGAAGCAAGTGGTTATTAGTGAAAACTTCCCATTTATTCTTTAAAACATTGTACTTCCAGCAAGGAAGAATAATTATTAGCTCAGTTACAGACAATTCCTTGAGGCTTTATATTACTGAATCTCCGAACTCTGCAGTAAAATCTGTTATTGAGATCTAGCATTGGTGGAAATATATGGTGATATTCAAGGTTTTTTTGAATATTCTTGTAGTTCGGGCACATTAGTTACTTTTTATACTCTTTAGTGACTTTTGGTGTCAAGCCAGCGGAGCCCAAAAGAGAAGAGAGGATTTTGTCTGTCAGTGGAAATATAATTAAGTGACTTGTTTAAAATTACAGGCCAAGTCCAAGTCTGCAGAGTCATTAAAACAGAGGATTTCTTAAATTTCTGCAGCAATAATTGAGCCAAGTTTCTAATCTGTTCTTCTTTCTTTCCTTAAATATTGAAGCGTGACTGATAACGGGTTATGGGTTTTTTACAATTGGAAACATCCTGAGAAAAATCCCACATGTAAATATCAAGAATGTAATTTATTTCACGTGTTCCATTGTGARAAATCTTGCAGTGCTTTGCATGCTTGCTATGCTAAGTCCTAAAGTAGTGACCTGTAGTTAATTTGAAAGTGAATTGAGACAGTGGCATTCAAGGGTGGAAGGAGACAACAGTGCTCCTAGATTTCTGCTTTTACACACACACTATAAATATAAATATAAATATAAATATAAATATAAATATAAATATAAATATAAATATAAATATAAATATAAATATAAATATAWATTTCTTAAATATTAAGTCACTGCAAATTACAACACAAGCCATGTTTCCACCTTCCAGCTGCTTTTAGGGCATTCTTTTCTCCTGATGGAAAAGCCCAAGCAGTTGTTGAGCACAGTAACAGGAGATGATCACAGCTCCATTTTATCTGAGACAAAAAATAGAAAACATTTTGAGTGTTAAAGTCTCGAACAAGAAGATGAAAGATATCAGAGTGGACATCATGTTCTGCYTCTTAATTATTATTCAGAGCAATAAATAGTTATTATGTATAATAATAAATAATAATAATAGATCATTGTGGRCTCCTTTCCAGCTGTTCATGTTTTCCTGCACAGTTCTGTGTCACCTCCAGGCTGGAAGAGTCAGAGATCTGTGCAAGGTCCATGGAAATGAGGTTTTTCTGACAAGGAGTCAGATTCCATCATGTTCAACATGGATTCACTGTTTATGCTTCCACAGGACCCAATTTATCTTTCTTTTTAATGGTTATTGGTAGATGTTGTTCCCTTGGTCTCATAGGTTACTTGTTCAAACACTTCATGTRCCTTTTAAAAAATAAAATAAAAGACAAACATCTGAACTAAAATCCAGTTGATATTTTTGGTTTGAAAAAATGTTCTTCTTCTTTATCTGTTCTTTCTCTGCTGTTGACAGTGACCTCTCTGGAAAGAAGCCTTCGATCTCTGGGGACCTCGAACGATACTCAAGAGCTGCAGGATGGACTGTGAGTTTATTTTAAATTGTTGCAGATCTTTCTTTGTGCCGGCCCTTTCATTTTTTCCCCTCATCTATCCTCACCCTCTCTTCAGTCCTTTTATTATAGCTGGACACCTTTTTGTCAGGATTACTTCATTTTTTTTTCTGTTTCTGTCGGTGATTAATGGTGGTTGGATGCGTATTGATCGTATAAAGCTTTCCTTCTGCTGGTTTCAAGTGGCAGAATATGGTGTGGAGATAACACAAAAAAAATGGCCCACAGTGACAGAGGCCATTCTGTGGTTCTGTAGTTTTGTTATTTTTCTGTTGCCTGTTGTTTTTTTGTTGTTGTTGTTGGGGGTGGTGGTTGTTTATAGTTAAGGTGATGCTGGAGTAGGAAATTACTGTGCTGGTTTTGGCTGGGGCAGAGATAATTTTCCTCATAACAGCCAGCATGAGGCTGTGGTTTGGATTTGTAGTGGAAGCACTAAAAATGTTGATAATCCACGGATGTTTTGGTTACTGCTGAGCAGTTCTTACACAGAGCCTTTCCTGTTTCTCAATCCACTCCACCAGCAATCAGGGAGTGAGTGAGGGGCTGTGGGGGCTTTAATTGCTGGCTGGAGTGGAACCAAAACTTTTGTAGCTTTTTCCTTTTCTTTTACTCATCCCTGCTTCACTTCACCAAAGTCCATGAACCCAAGAGAAAAAAGAAAAGGGACTTCTGACAGGGGCATGTAGTGACAGGACAAAGGGGAATTTTTTAAAGTGAAAGAGAGTAGGTTTAGATTGGATATGAGGAAGAAATTTGTTACTGTTAGGGTGGTGAGACCCYGGCATAGGTTTCCCAGGGAAGCTGTGGCTGCCCCATCCCTGGAAGTGCCCAAGGCCAGATTGGATGGGGCTTTGAGCAGTCTGGGATAGTGAAAGGTGTCCTTGCCCATGGCTGGAACCAAGTAACCTTTAAGGACCCTACCAACCCAAACTATTCCATGATTCTATGAAAAAAAAAATAAATAAAAAGAGGAAGAGGATATTTTACAGGAGGAAAAACGTACTGCAATGTTGGAAGCCGCATCCCAGCATCACGTGGCGCAACACTGACAAAATGAAACTTGAGTTGCAGTTGCAATAGACACAGTTCATTAAACCCCCTCTTCCAGAGCTGTGTACACACAAACACACACAGTTAKCTCTCACTGTACATGTGCTAATTACACAATTCAAATGGCTTTTCCAAATGTGGCACTGCTTATTAAAGGTGCCTCCCTTCATGCAGCTTGCATGCAAAAATCAACTTTGTTTAGGATGTGGCTCTAATTTCGTGTGTGTCRCTGCAATTCCTCCTGAGATTGTAAAGGAAGAGGAGAATTTTGGGGTTTATTTCTTTATTTACCTGATGGAGATGACTTTCCCTATGCAGTATAAACTCTCAGACCCATTTGCAGAATCTCCTTTTCTCTCCAATCCATTGCTTTCACCAGGGTGTCAGATCTGCCCTAATTCACATATTCTCTTCAAATACTAACTCAAATACTCTATTTTGCAAACCAKGGGATTAAAAATAGTCATAGTAATWACAGTCAGAAGATTTGAAAGTAAATTTAGGAGATTGGAGAGGAYGTAAGAGTAAAAAACTCAGCCTGTGGAGATCGATGTAATCAGGAAAGATGTTTACATGGACAAAATTATTTGCAGCATAAAACACCTTAATAAGTGCTGGAGATCCTTAACCCAAGAAAGACTTCGTGTCATGCAGCCGTTGTGTTTGCTCTCCTAAACCATCCTTTTTTTTTTTTTTTTTAATTAAAGAATCAATTCCTCGACTCTTCAGAGCACTCCAGAAACATGGGCAGATAATTTTCCCCTTTCCTGAGCAGTTGCATAAATAGATGCATAAGGCACTAATTGCACTCATTATTTTTTGATCTCCGAATTATCATTAATTGTCCAGATAGTTAATGCAGCTTTATTTTAATTTTAACTGTTCTTCCCTAGCCCTGGCATCAGCCCCAGTATTCCTCCAGCTGTCTCCTGCTTCATCCTCTCTCCCTATTCTCCAACAGGTCTCCTGTTTGACTTCTCATATCTCCAGACAGAGCATTCCAGGGTGCTGTGCTGAGGAGGACCAGCAGCTCCCTTCCCCTCAATCCTCCTTTCTGTCAGGACAGGGACAAATCSTGTCCCAACACTGACGTGTCCTTCCAGTGCCTTCCATTTTTCATCACCAGATGCAGGCAAACAGCCTTGAGTGCTCTACAAGAGCCTCTGCTTGTCTCTCATGAGAGCTGCACCAGCAAAAAGCAGCACACCATGAATCACCAGAGCTGGCAGGGCTGCATAGATCTCTGCTCAGGAGGGTCAGCTCTTCAGGTGAGACCTTTGGGGCAGCACTTTCTGCTTCCCCGGCTGCAAATCATGGCTTAATCTTCCTCCTGTGCCACTTGACCCCTTTCCTTCAGAGGCTGATGCATTTCTCTCCTTGAACACCCTCTAAGRTGGAAGATGGGAGCAGTGAGGGAGCATTTGGCAGGTTTATAGCCGTGGTTATTAGGAAAAGGATAATGGTTTTTGGGTGTCTAAGTAGGAAAATTGCCACAATTTCTACTTTCTTGTTAAGTGGCTGTCACTCTGCCTAAAAYGAGGCTGCCTAAAATTAGGCAGATGAGGGAGGGAAGGCAGAGAATTTGGGAATAGAGATTAATGGTGAATAGTTCTGCCACACAGGACATTCAGCTCCTGYGGTCTGTATTCTGCAGTGGTGTTTTCTGACCTAGCTGCAGGGTCCTGCTAAAACAGAGGGGGGGAARAAAAAAGCAAATTCACCTGATTGCTTTTCAAATTCATGCAGACTTTCTGCCTCTTATGCACAGGACTCACAAAGGCATCAGATGAAAGCAGAATTCTGACTGTCAGATTGGGCTGCTCACTACTTTGAAATGGTTTCTCTGCTTTTGAGAGGCGAGTCTTTCAGAATAAGGACTCTATTTGTGGCGAGGAAATTTGGGAGAGCTCATCCTAAATGGAGAGCCAGCTCTAGTCAGTGAGACAGGCTTGGCTGCTGCTGAGAGCAGGGTGTGTGTGAGACCCAAAATGAATAATCCTGGTCAAAGCTCTTCCCAGAGCCAGCACAAACATTTGAGTGCTGGAGCTGGATGTCCTGGTGAGTGAAATGCCCACACAAAGCTCTTGGCTGAATGCAACTGACCCTGGATTAATTGGGGAGGGTGTGGGAGCAAAAGGAAAAATGGTGCATGGAGCTGGGATGAGAAGCAAAGGCAAAGCTGAGGCTTTCTCCAGTGATGCAGGAAAAATTTGACTTGTTTTTTTTTCTCTGACCTCTGGTTTAATAATCCAAGCTTCCAAGGCATTTATCTGCCTCCTTAGCCAGAGTGTGTGGGATGAGTGAGTTCTCCAACATTAGGCACTGAAGGTAATGAGCTTTTAATTTAGGCAAATCAAATTAAACACCCAGGTAGAGCACTGTCTCCGAAAGACTGGGAAAACCCGTCTCCTTTCTTTTGACTGGTGTGGCTGGTTGGTCTCCCAACATCCTCCACAAATTGGATGAAAATGAAAACCTCCCTGTAACCTGGACAAAGCTCTCTGAGAAATGTTAGAAGAAGGAGAAGGAGAAGGAGAAGGAGAAGGAGAAGGAGAAGGAGAAGGAGAAGGAGAAGGAGAAGGAGAAGGAGAAGGAGAAGGAGAAGGAGAAG